CCCTTGGGAAGCGAAAGGGAAGAGGAGTTATTTCAGTGCTCAGTGGAGAGTAGCCTAGCGCATTTGTGGTGTTTATCTGGTGGGTAAATATACTTCTCTGGCTTACTAATGGTAGCTTTTGAAGATTAAAGCATAGTAGAGCCTGTTCGAGCATTATCTGCCGGTGTCTGTTCCCGCTACCCTCACCCTCCCGAGGGGAGGATGCCTCCCAAGCTGCTGTTTAGTGAGCTCTCAGGGACTGTCAATGGTTATGTTAATTTTCCCCCGAGATCTCTATCATCTTTCGGCTGTGGGAGTGACTCCTCGGCTTCTGCATTGCCGCTCCTTCAGGGATAAAGACGTAACTACTCTGAGATGCAGCGGGCGAGCAAATGGAGTGCGGGGTGTCCGTGCTCAGTCGCGCCCAGTTATTCTACCACAAAACCTGTAGAGCAAAAATCCTATCGTGATGAAATGGGATTATAAGAATGGAAAAAGCAATGCTGAAATGAAGAAGGCATCGGGGCCTCAGTGCTTTGTGTGCAATAGCTGTGAAGAAAGTTAAGTTACTGTAGACTACATCCAAAATTATTTTAAAGAACTCTCTCCTTTATAAAATGGGTTTCTATATTGTAAATGTACTATCTGATAAAGTCATCTTCTTCGGGGTGCTAGCCTGCTAACCTCTGGCCCGCTGGGGCACTGTAAACATTTTTACAAACAGAAGCAACTAGTGCCTGACTTTGGGAAAAAGGAAACTCACTGTGGCTCGAACAGCTGGTAGTGGGATGATTGATGCCTTTTAATGCACTGGACATATTTTGGTAATCCAATTAAATATTTAAAGTATAAATCTGCCATTTAATAATATCAATGCAGTTAGTATAAATGTCTAAACCCGAGGATTATATGTAATAGTGACACCATTTCTTGCAATGCACGTTGAAATGTGCATGTGTCTGTACACACACACATATTTGGCTGCTTCTAAATGCAATGGTGCTTGTCCATTTTCCATTTGTGTACCCCTTTCGCTGTTCATGTTCTCTGGGGCTGGATGCATTCACCAGCAACATGACAATCGGTTCTTAAGAGGCTTATTTGGGGGATTATCTGCTGGTACATAGACAGCTAATTCAGTTATTTGCTATAGAGTGATTGGGAATAACTCCCAAGAGTGTGTGTGTATGTAGGAATAGCAGCACAAATCTTCAAAGTGGATCCCTATTCTAACACTATAATACAACAAATAATTTATATTGGTGAGTAGATATTACTGCCTGGTTAGAAAATGTAGGGGGATAAAAATCCTCTGCACATCTTGCATCTGTTCTGCTGGTGCTCCCACGTCCTTACAATTCCATACCCTTTACAACATGGCTTCTCCACGCTTGTGGGAGGTGGGTTAGAAGGAATGTATATTTTTCCTATGCCTGCAGGAAACTGCTCATGCCTAAAGATTGCCCTAAAGATTCCCTAAAGGACTGCTGGACAGAGTCCCTGGAGTTTGTGTGCAGGGAGGGAGGGAGCAGTGCAGGCAGAGGGCAGCCCACGTGCCCTGGGGGGCACAGCCTGTGAGGGGACAGGGGGCACAGCCTCACCAGTGATGCCAGCAATGCCTCCCTGCCAGCTGGGACAGTCGGGATGCCCCCTCTTCCCATCCTGGTCAGATCAGGGCAGGATCAACCTCTGTGATTAAGGCTGTTATGGGAACAGGATTGTCTCTGGCTCAGTCACTGGGCTGTGGTGTAAATCCATCATTTCCCTGCTTTTGTGCCTTGTTCATAACTGAGACTTTAGTGCAAGCTTGCTCCCTTAGCCTCTATTTGTGCAGTGTCTTATGCCTGAGGAGAGCTGAGATCCTCAGATTGTTCTTTTACATGGTACTGTAATAATAGCCCTCTATAAGAGGATTTGGAATTCCACTTCACCATCCCTCAGAGATGTGCTGGCTTATAGACAGAACAGGTGAATCTCCAGAGGGTATCAGCTGTCTTCTGGATCACCTAAAGCTAGCTTTAGCATTAGCTAAAATGAGAAATGAGCAGAAATGAGAAAGATAAAGGGTATTTTCTCTCTAGGCTGCCATAAGCACTGTGAGCTTGGCATGCCTGTCTGGTACAGGCTATTTTCCTGTATCGAAGGAGCTACAGAAAGATGGGAGAGTGATTGTGATATGATTTCTTGGTAGCTCTAGAAGATAAAGTCCATCATTTCACTGAGACACCCAGAATAAAATTCTGTCTAAAACCACAGAGCTCTGGTAAATCTGTGACTGCCTACTCTTCTCCATGCCAAGGTCTCCAGCAAGCACTTGAGTTCTGAACATCCTTGAATCCAAATGCATTTGGATGAAGGCAACTCTCTCAATCCTTCGTGGCGATTAGTTCTGGGAATTAGATGTTTAGCACACCTTGAAATTGAAAAAAACAATGACTTAAGTAATGATAAGGAAAGGTGGCAGCATCCAGAATTTGTA